AGCACGTTTGTTTTCTGAGAGTTCGGGAGGCTGGAAGTCAGAAGAGAGTAGCAGCATGGTCAGAGTTGGGTGAAGGCTCTCGTCCTGTTTTGCCCATGGCCACCTTCTTGCAGATCCTCACATGCCCCCTGCCTTGTGTGTGTATGGGGGGAGGGGGAAGTAGGGAGAAGAGGGTAAGAGAGAGAAAAGGGTGGAAGAGCAAGTTCTCCAGTCTCTTCTTTTAGGGACAGTAATTCCACTATGAGGGACCCACCCTAAGGGTCTCATGTAACCCTGATTACCAGCTAAAGACCCCAGATATCATCACACAAGGTGGGGGTCAGGGAACAGATGGATGGGGAGCACAAACATTTAGTCTCCCCGGGGGCATTGAGGCTTGGTTTCCTAAAGGGGCATGTGTTCACTTGTGCAGCTGGGTCTTTGCTTAGGGGTTCTGCTTCTCAGCAGCCTATGCAAACCGCGTCATGTGAAGCGTTAAGTGTGAATACGCTGTGCGCCATTGGTTTTGACGACTGACAGTGAACAAAGCGCAATGATTTAAAATAATCAAAACAAAACCAGCAAACAAAAGGGAGAGGGAGAGAAAAGTAGAGAAACATCAATGCTACCAGGTATTTGGGATGTTAGTTCAGTTAAGCACTAAATTTAACTGAATTTAGTTCTGGATCTGCTGATAGCTCAGGCCAAAGGAGAAAATGTGCCTTTGTGAATTCTTTCCTCTTTCACCCGTATTAAGTTCCAGGTAGAGTTCCAACTTTTCCTTGTACCACTCAAGCCAAACTGCTATTCCCAAACTTATGCCCTTTAAAGATGAGAAAAGTCATTGAGTCTTTTTTTCCTCCCCAGAGCTTAACATTTCATTGTGATGCTTTTCTAGCTTATTGTAGAAGCAAAACTAGCCATTCCAAAAATACCCAAAGGGGAATCTCCCTCACCAAATGTACACTAGAAGCTGATGAGAAAAATAACACATTTTGCAAAATGTGTAGTTGGGTTGTTTTTAATAGATAAAAAGAGCTTCTTTCACTGTATAGTAATTCAGGTAACCGTGGAGATCCAAGCACTCCACAGACATGGCAGGAAGAAGAACTCGGAAAATCACTAATTCCCTGATTCCAAGTCAGGTACCCAATTGGGCAGGTCCCATTGTTCATCTCTCTATAACAACAACAACAACAACAAAAGACAGCTTGAGAGTGGAGGAATCCCTCCTCCCAGGCTCACCCCTGCCATAAACTAATCAACTGGATTCCACAGAGCACTTCACTTACCCTCTCTGAGCCTGTTGTCTTCATTAATTCAATAACTACTTTTTGAGCATCTAAAATGTACTAAGCACTGCGTCCAGGTGAAGGGGCCAGCCCTGCCTTCCTGGAGACCACAGTCTGGAGACAAGGGAACTTTCCATTCCGTGACGTGTTTGTTATTTCTTTGTGCAGGTGTCTTGCCTCTGTTCCTCATTAGTTTGGCACATAAAACACATGTGTGAACAAAAGAACGAATGAGTGAAACAGGAAGGCTATTTCAATCACTGTATCTCATGCCATTACCACTCTTCTTGTGGTCCTCTTTGTCAAATAACTCAAGCCCAGGTGGTCCGTCTTCAACATGACCTTTCTTTCCACCAGCCCTCAGGAAAACCTTAGTCATCAGCCATTAACCTTCTCCCTTCATTCTTTTCTAGCACAGTTACTTAGAATCTACTGCCATTCTTCTTACCACCCCTGAATGTTTTCCTATACCATAAATTCCACAAACATCCATTAAGCTAACAAAAAGTACTGCAAAAATGGAAAAATGGAATGAAAAAATGTTTCTTTGGGTACAAAAGAAAAATCAGAAGCAATGCTGATGAGGGGGTCTTCAAAAAGGCCATGGGAATGTATATTAGGAAAAATATATGTGCGTATCTCAAAATTGTTTTGCATCATGAAAATAAGCATCTCTTAACTTCGGTTTTTGAACAGATTCTTTGAAGTATCCTTTTATGCAGCAAGCCCTGGGGAGACCGAGGTGTTGGAGAACATACTGTATTCCACGTCCCCCGTGGCTGTGGACAGACGGCTCTTTGCAGGTGCCATTCATGGCCACAAAGGGTGTGCTTCATTCCTTTGACTCACAGCTATCAATATACCAGAGCACCCCAAATGCCATCGTGTACTTCCTAGAAGAGTCTTACATTGACATTGACAAATGCTACCCGCCACCCATGCTAGCCCTTTATACAATGATTTTCAACCAAAACAGGTACGTTTGCTGTATAAGAAAGTTAGGAGTAGGCTTTGTGGTACAGTGGGTTAAGCTGCCACATAGAACGCCCACATCCCACATTGAAGTGAGGTTTGAGTCCTCCAATCCAGCTTCCAGCTAATGCATCCTGGGAGCAGCGGATGATGGCCCAAGTACTTGGGTCCCTGATACCCGTGTGGTTGACATGCATGGAGCTCCTTGCTCCTGGCTTTGAAGTGGCCCGGCACAGCCACTGAAGCCATTTGGAGCGTGAATTAGTAGATGGAATATTCTCTCTCTCTCTCTCTCTCTCTCTCTCTCTCTTTCTCTCTCTCCTCTCATCGTCACCCTGTCTTGCAAGTTAAGTAATTAGTTAATTACAGAAATAGGTATAACATAAACCAAATTTTACTAACAGAAAAAGAAATAGGTGAAGAAAAAAAAAACTTGAGTTGTCTATCCACTTAATAGTCCATGAATCCCTACACCAAATGCCTGCAGTGTCAAACTCTTATCTCTACCCTTAGTATCATTTTCCCACCACTATTTGAACAATGGTTGAGATACAGGTTTCTCCAGAAAGCATTGCTCGGAAAATAAACTTTAAAAATAAGCAGCACATGAATAGTATCACAGCTGAAAACCACTCGTACACATGTCATCTCAGTTACTATTCATATCAGAGGCTGAGGCTCAGAGGGGGACCTAACCAGACCATGGCTTGTGTACTCACTGAGCTACAGTCAGGCAGAGCTGGCATTTATGTCTCAGCTCTTCTGAGCCAAAATCCCAGAGCCAGTCTAGAGGAGGTCCCAGTTGGTCCAGGCCTCATACTCACAAAAAGCTGCACGTTGAGATTTTATCTGTTACCTCCAATAGCATCAGCCACAGATGTAAAGAGGCACCTCCTGAGAATTAAACAAAGACAACATTCATTATGCAATGCTAAATGTGTGTTGTTTGTGTCACATTATCTGGGCATTTCGACGCTCTTATTTTTCAGTGTCTTGAGAATCTCAGTGGAAATCGCCCAGGCTCCTCTCAAACTCTCAGAGCCTCGTCAAATCTCTTCATTTTCCCCCGTGACATCTCTAACAATGTTGCTTACTTGCTGTCACTTTCCCATCTGAAAATAAAACTGATGAGATTTTCCTTGTTTTACAGTCCAGTTGTATGTCTATCTCACCCACTTCATCTCCCTCAAAACCCTGTTCATTGGCCCAGGCGTGACATAAATCTTAGCAAGATCACATGTCCTCATGTGCCCCAGTCCGAGAGCACCTGCCTGCGGCTCGCCTGCCCGTACTCGCCCGCATGGATGAGGTCTGAACGCGCTGCTCCCTACAGAACCCAGCTGGTCGCAACGCATGACTCTACCCTGATAAATGAGCTGCTTCTACTGGCGCTGATGGTGGATTCAAAATAGCAAAGGGAGCCTTTGGATTATTTAAAATCATAATATCTCCAGGCCTCAGTTCCTTCATCCATAAAATGAAGAAAGTAACACCCTAATGAAAATTAATGGAAGATCATCAAGGGCTTCTCACAGCAAATGCAGGCTCTGAACTTTTCATTTCTTCCCTGCTCCTTAATTGGGCACAACGTCTGCCCATCTGAAAGAAGAGGCAGATTTTTCAGAGCCCCTTATGCACATTGTAGTCACTCGCCTCACATCAGAACGAGGCCATCTTCATGGGCATCCCCTACTTGGCTCCAGCTGTGCTGCCACATGACCGTAGCCAGGGGCACCCAGATTCCTGCCCCGCCCCGGGCACCCTCCTCCCTCTGTGCCCATAGGTGCTGTCCAGAGTCATCTCCAGGCCCAGCTCCTGCCCTTGGCCCAGCTCACACCCCGGGTGGGGTGTGAGTGCAGATCTTCACAAGCCAACCAATGTTAACCGCTCCCCATTTTTTCCCTTTCCCTATTTATTGTAGCTTTTTAGAAAGTTGATGAGGTGAAATATTCTCCAGCAGAGGAAATAATATAAAGCTTAAAAGTCATTGCTGATGGAACGGTGAAATAATTCCACTACTTTTCTTTGAGCAAAATAATAATAATAATAAGGCAACCCGAGGTGACATCTGGGGATTCCATTATTGATAGGTTGGAGGGAAACATAATGGCTTTAGATGAACAGGTTTTCCTTTTAACTTGTTAGAGCACTTTGGGATAAAGAGATGAGAAAGACAGGTGCTACACAATAGAGCAAACCTGGCACCAGCTTATTTACATAATTTTGTATAGAAATGCATTGATGTATGAAGTATAAAGTGGCTGTGTTGAATGGTGAAAATATTTTGGAAAACAATCTATTTTCACTACCTATCTCTAAAATAACAGAACATTGTATGAAATACCTCTTGCTTCTTTGTGAAAATTATTGGTGGCTTAAGCTCATGTGTGTGTGCAGTTTTAAGAAAACACCATCTTTTATGCAATTGTTTTAGGTAATTCTTAAGAATGTGTCCTCTAAGTAAATGAGACATTGAGTGGAGGAGGGGACGGGAAGAAAAATATTTTTGTCTTTTTTATCCACCACGTGGTCTGCTCTTCATTTCTTCGTGATTAAAGGCTATCAGGAGGGCTGGAGAGTGTGTGGAGCAAAGATTATAAACAGCAATTTTTGCAGGCCAAATTGCTTCCTAAATGAGGGAGTAGGAGATTGCAAGGGGAACATAGCTGTCTCTTTCGCAGCATGCAAAGGTTTGTGCTGTGTGAGAAACTCAATCCTAACTCCCTTTTGACAAGTGTTCCTTAACAGGCCTCCTAGATATCTGAAACCGATTTTAACCCACGCGGGTCCTCCGCTGACCACAACGCTACCTGAGTGGTGCGGTCCAATTTCCAGGCTGCTCACCAGTCCTCAGGCCTATGGGGTAAGTAAATATCTCAGGAGGCGCCCAAGATCCTCAGGGCTCTTAAGCCTCGGCTGGAGGAGGAAGGGTTCTTAAAATTCACTGCCCCAACCGGCGCCATGGCTCATTTGGTTAACCTTCCGCCTCCAGCGCCAGCATCCCATATGGGCACCGGGTTCTAGTCCCAGCTGCCCCTCTTCCAGTCCAGCTCTCTGCTGTGGCCCAGGAGGGCAGTGGGATACCAGGAGGAAGCGCCTGGCTCCTGGCTTTGGATCAGCACAGCACCGGCTGTGGCAGCCACTTAGGGGGTGAACAAATGGAAGGAAGACCTTTCTCTCTGTCTCTCTCTCTCTCTCACTCTCTAACTCTACCTGTCAAATAAATAAATTAAAAAAAAATTCACTGCCCCAAGAAGCATTGCTCTTCTCTTAGCCGTTGTTGCTGATGTTGGCTTCTTCTTGTTTTTAAAATGCAATTTTTATTGTTACCAATACTTTTAACCATAAAATAAGCTTAGAAGATGTAAAAAAAAGTCATGTGTCCTTACAAACTGCTGCGTGTTGAGGTTTTGACGATTAGGGCTGCACTTTGTAGCTCAAGGGAGTGGAATAAAAAGTGCTGAGAAGCAATTAGAAGCGTTAGCAGTGAGTCGGCGTGTCAGGGGATTGGAGAAGAGCAGAGTCGCAGAGCTGGAAGCACCGGGAGAGGTCGTCCAGCTGGCCGCCCCTGGCATGCCCAGGGAAGGCAGCGTCTCAGATGTACCCGGGCACAGCAGCCTAAAGTGAGTGCTCCCAATGTGGTCTCCGGGCCAGCAGCTGCGGCTTCACTTGGGAACTTGTTAGATGCGCACACCTCAGACACCAGGCTGAGCTAGGGCTCAGTAGTCTGCCTTTTAACAAGCTCTCCACTTGATCTTGGTACAAGCCAAAGTTGGGAAGCACCGCCCTAAGGTCACCTTCCCAGGGCCCAGCTAGCAGTAATTGAGTGTGCCCTTCCCAAAGGCAGTGGAAGAGGAGTTGGGAAATTCATCCTTTCCCTCGAGGGAACCTCTGTAACAGGAGTGTTTCTAGTGGCCAGATCCAGTTAGTTTCTGGAGTTTTCCATCCTGATGACTTCCAACTCTTTCTAGCCTTGTGACTTTCATCCCAAGACACATGCCTAGAGGACATACTAGTAAGGTAAAATAAAATGGAATTTTGTGATGTGGAAGATCAACATGAGAAATCGGCCCTACTCTGAGGTCACAGGTTGAGGCTAACCCCAAGCTTCTCTCAACCCTAGTGGCACCAGTGGGGGAAGCACATATCCATTGAATTTCCTTTGCACTCCCTCAACACAAGGAGCATGTGCACCTCCTATCGTGGGCCCAGAGACTCCTGTGGCTGAGTACAGTGTCAGGTCTTAAGAGCTGACTCAGGCAAACGCTTTACCACACCACACGCATGGCAGAAACCAGCCAAGGCAAGACAGGGTAGTTAAGGAAGGGAAAGAAACATCCTCTTTTCATGCACTGTGAGACTGGTATTGTTTTTACCTTCAGCTTGAAGTGACCTCTCTCTCTTTCTAAACCAGGAACAGCTGAAAGAGGATGACGTGGAATGCATTGTCAACCAGGATGAACTAGCCATGAATTACCAGGAGCAAGGCTCCTCGCCGTGCAGTCCCCCTGCCAGGCTGGGTCTGGACCAGAAAGCTTCACCCCAGACTCCAAGCAAGGAGAACATTTATGAGGGAGACCTTGGCCTAGGAAGCTATGAACTCAAGCTTGAACAGACTCTGGGTCAATCCCAGATGAATTAATCGGCATGGAGAGTGCAGATGTCATCAGAAGCAATGCAAGGCCCACTGAGGAATTCAAGCCAAGCTGACAACACAGTGCAAGGGAGACGCTGAAAAATGTGTTAAGAACATAAATTGGAGAGAATTGAACCCTTGTCAAATGTATCCTCTCGTGTCTGTGGAAATGAGAATTTATTGTCATCCCTCTATATTATGCAACTGAATTTAATTGCTTGACAGCAGCCATTTTTATTACTGTAATGGGTGGGATATGGGGTGGGGGAGGGGTCGGGCTGCAGTAAGGATGAACCACATGTGCTAGGCCACAGGGGCTTCTACCCTGTAGGCAGCTCACTTGGATTCAGGATTCTACTCCATTCATCATGCAGAGTTCAAACCTAAGAAGAGGTTCTAAGTGTAAAAATGTGGCTCCTCAGCTAAAGGAATGTCCAATTAGTTAGCAAGTGAAAAGTTTTATATTTCTGGGACTTGGCTCCCAATTGCTCGAAATGACCCCAGAGCTCCATGCAGAGCCCAGATCAGTGTTCCTCGCCTGAGCTGGGGAAGCTCCTGGTCTTGCTGGCCTCCTGTCCACACTGCTTTTCCCTGCGGCCAAATGGGTTGCTGACAGCCCAGTGTGCCTTGAGCTTCCTGCACTGCCGCTGTCTGACCAGGGAAGGCCCCTTCCAGGGACAGCTGGTCTCTTTTCCCAAAACCATGTTGCACCAGGGGAATGGCCAACATGTCCTTGCTTGCATGTGAGTCACTTCTTAGCTGTGCAGGGTCCCCTGTGTACACTGGGTCATAGAATCCACACACATGTTGCTCCCCAGCAGGCAGGAGAATATTCCTGCATTCACAGCTGATCACCAGGGTAGACAAGCAAGGAAAAGAACTGACAATGCATAGAGCCCAAGGAGGACCAGCATTAGGGGCTCTGGACTTCCCCTTACAAGGCGTGGCTCATGGCCCACATTCCAGGGACCAACACAATAGCTTCTAATTCAGCTGCATGACCTGTGCCTTTCAAGCCATAAAGATACCTCAAGTCTAGCTTCTTTTGAAATGCAGATATTAAAGTGAGACTCAACAATGCAGGTGCCCAGGCTGTCCTGAGCTTTCGAGGGAGGTGGGGACCAATGTCTTCCTCAGGCCAGGGCTTAATAATAAATAACATATGCTTTGCTGATCACTTGTTAGGCCTTAAATATTAACCCTGGTGGTGTCAGGCACACTGCTATCTATGTCAGTTTTCTTGTTTTCCAAACAGTAGAATCTGGGGCACAAATTGTTTTATACCCAGGAAGTATAACCTTGTCATTTCAGGTAAATATGGCAAGTGGTGAAGCATGAAGTTTTTCTAATTTGACTTAATCCTAATAAAATTTTATTATAAAGTATGGTTGCATTGGCAAATGCTTTATTTACGGGCATCTTCTCCATTCAGGTTAATAGGAAATTCTAAGCACTTATATGTGAAGTTAATGTAAAGGAGATGCAAGTGTCCTGTGGCCTGGTAGCAGACACAGAGACTTGCATGACAAGCCTTGAAGGAAACGAGTGGTGTTGGAGTGGAGAGGATCTTCCAGAGAAAGGAATCCTGAGTCAAGCAGAGCGGTGCAGCCTCCTCCTTCCCCACTGGAGGAGACTGGAATTCGTGGAGAGCCACGACAATTGAAGGAGGAGATAGTAGGGGGCAAAGGAAAGAGCAGAAGAAAGGAAGGATTCCTCTTATGTCTGCCCCTGTCCTGTGAAAGGCAGAGATGAGAATTAGTGTTTTCTTTGCCTTTGTGTAGAGAAAGACACCAAAGGGAAGATCCCCCCACCCCAGGAAGGGCAGACACTGGTGAGGGCACCAGTGGAGAGAAGGGAGAGAAATACCGCTTACCGGATGGGTGTGGGATAAGGGGGAAGGGCTTAGGGGTCGCGAGCTAAGCCCAGCATCAACCCGCTGAGAGGACAGAGCCCTCATCCTGCATCGTGAATGGTTGCCAACAAGGAGAACTGGTGACTGCTTAGTCAGGGCTGGGCCACATATCCAGGCTGATTCTAGGTAGGTCCGATAATCATGAGTCAGAAGAAATTCTGCCCACCCACCCCCTTCCCCACCCCACCGCAGGCGATCTTCAAGACCATCCTCCAGTCTGGGATGTATTAGCAGCCTCTTCCCTTATAGTCAGTCCAAGACCAGAGCAGAGGCTAGTGTCCCAGCTAGTAGCTCATACAATCAAATTCTTTTCTGCCCCTGTTGTGAAGGATAATAATTTATGATCTTAAGAAATGCTCTGTGCTTTGATTAGCAGCATCAGGACTGTGAAATTCAAACTATTATTTACTGCCAGTTTCAAATGAATAATACAAGCAAAGGAGCTTCATTCAAACTACTAACACTTCCACCCATGATTAGAGCTTTAAACAGGACTCTAATTAATTAACTGACTGACAGGTCTCCCTTGAACCTCTCATCGTTTGTACATCACAGAGACATTCACAGGTGTGCAGACTCACACACACACACACACACACACACACACACACACACAGAGTTCCATTCGCTATTGAGAACCCTGGTAGATCCATTTGTGATATCCACCCTGGTACTTGAACTTGTCCAAGCTAGTCTGAAGCCTAGTGACAAGTGGCATCAGTGTCTTCATTTGTGAAGTCTCCAGAATTTCTTAGAGGGCACTTTAACCAAATAAATCAAAATTGAAAAATATAAGGGCTCTTTAAACCTCCAGCTTAACTTGCAGAACTTTTATTCTAGATACGTGAGAAATCATACATCTGAACAGTATTTATTGAAACAACTCAACTGGCATGCTGATTAAATAAGTAATGGCACAGCCATCTTTTTAGAGCCTCTTATGTGCTGATTTGGGAGGGAGCTTCAAAAAGTTTGTGGAAATGTCTATTGAGAAAGCACCCACAAGGATTGTAACATTTTTCCACCAAAATAAGCATCGTTTAATTCCATTTTTCCACAAACTTTTTGAAGTACCCTCAGATCGTTAAATAAGAACAGCAAGATGCAGGACAGAAAAGAGGACGTGCAGCCATCCTGGCAGACTGAAGAAGACTCTGGAAGTATGGTTGCGCCTAAGAACCTGGGAGAGGCTTACCTTTCCACGTTGTTCTTTTGAGTGTTGTACACTACATATGTATTATTTAATCAAAGTCAAAGAAAATAATAAGAGTCCTAGGAAATAGCTCGTACCAAGTACTGAGCCACAATAGAAGATGAAATTTAAAAATGGAGAAGCTGTTATTTTTCACCATAATCTTTTTTGCATAAGGCAATGTACACGATGATATTCATTATAATACTACTTCTTATCGCTAAATATTGCAGAGGGAGAGCAAAATACTCAGCAATAGAGGTGTCAGCTAAAAGGCAGCACACCTGCTAGGCAACGCTCTGCAGCTGTACTTGTATAGATATGGGTCTAAATGTGTGCAGTCACATGGAACTATTTCCAAGATAGATCATTAGTGAAAAATTATTGTGGAATGATAGCTGACTGATGGTCAGAGGAATGGTAGGATTAGGAGCATTGATCAAGAGGGGTTTTTGTTCATTTGTTTATCTGTATTTTTTTATTTCTACATATATCCTATATTCATGTATTTTCTGTATATTAAAATAAATTTAAAGGTATGAAATATGAAAGTGGGTAAAGTAATAAAGCTATCATTGTCAGATCCTAAGGTAAGGAGGAGCCCTAACGGTCATAGTCTGTTATCAGGTTGGCTTTTAGATGAGAAGGGAGAAGGCAGATCAAGAAAGACTTCAAAGAAGAAGTGACATTTGAGTGAGGTCTTGAAAGATGGGAGGGTTTTGCCAAAGTGGGGTTCGATCAATAGTATGTGGTAAAGGCCTTCCCGTGAAAGGGGACAGAGGGATCTGAAGCAGCCTAGCATGTAAGGGGAATGCGGTTATTCTACATGGCTGCAGGTTGTTTGGGGGTTTGAAGCTGGGAAATAGGAGAATAGAGGACATGCTGAAACTGTAGAACAAATTAAGAAGCCTGGGCCATGATCCCGTGAGAATGGGGAGCTATTGAAATATTTTGAACAGGGAAGATAATTACACAGACCAAGGGGACTGCAAGTAATCCTGGAGGCATGTGATAATCCCAGTGAGGTGTGATTGCAGTAGCCCCGGAGAAGGATGATGCGAAACACAACAGAGGCACCATCAGAACACGTGGGAAAGAGGACAGGTCCTAGATAAGTTTCAGGGCAAACATCCACGAAGTTGATAGCAGGCTGGATGTGGACCATAGGAAGTTGAACGAGCCCAGATTACTGCAAGGTGATGACTAGTTAATGGCTTCATTCACTGAGAGAGAAATGGGAGAAAACACAGGTTTGGGAAAAAATCAACAAACTCATCTCGGGATATGTTGAGCCTGCAGGTCCAATAGGCTCAGGGATGTCCAGCTGCTTCAGTGGACCTGGAGTTTAAGTAGAAGTGTAGGCTGGAGATGCAGATTTGAGGGGATGGGATGAGCAGCACAGCTTCACCACAGTTTTTTTCCAGGGCTATGCGATCCTCTTCATCTTTCTCTAACTCTGCAAAGATCCTGTTATGCCCTTCCTGCAAGAGGACTATGTCAGAGTCTCTGAGAAGACACACATACGTTCCTTCAAAAGGTAGCATGGCTGATTCTGATTCATGCCCGGGGGAGAGCCACTGACAAGAAGAAGAAAGAAAGCAGTAGAAACAAAGAACTGAGACGCACTGAATTCAGTGGAGAGACAAAGTGTGCATTGTGGAACACACCCTGGAGAATCCCTTACTGCTAACCAAGAAGACTGGGCCTTGACAAGGAACGGAGAATTAGATACAGAGGCAGGCTGACTTCTGCTGTTACTGTGTTGTGGTCTTACACACTTGCCCCACTTCTCCCTCACTGAAGTAGTTTCATTTGTCAACTCAACTAGAGTATAGTCTCCAGCTAATCAAACACTATTGTAGGTGTTGTATTTGGGATTAATATTTAGAATTACTTGGTTTTAAATAAAAGGTATTATGCTAAGTAATCCAGGTGGGCCTACAATCAGTTAAGGATCTTAAGAATAGAACCACGGGACCTGCACTGTGGTGCAGTAAGCTAAGCCTGCACAAGGAGCGCCAGCATCCCATACGGGCACCGAATCATGTCCTGGCTGCTTCTCTTCTGATCCAGCTCTCTGCTATGGCCTGGGAAAGCAGTAGAAGATGACCCAAGTGCTTGGGCTCCTGCGTTCACACGAGAAACCTGGAAAAAGCTCCTGGCTCCTGGCTTCAGATTGGCCCAGCTCCAGCCATTGTGACCATTTGGGGAGTGAACCAGCGGATGGAAGACCTTTCTCTTTGTCTCTCCCTCTCACTATCTATTACTCTACCTCTCAAATAAATAAATAAAATCTTTATTAAAAAAGAATAGAACTGAGATTTTCTGAAAAACATGAAATTCTATCTGAGGACTGCAGCTTCCACTCACGCCCAGGAGTGCCAGCCTGTCCACGCTGATGGTCTGCTCTACAGGTTTTGCACATTTGTAGCCAAGCTCCACAGTTGTGGAAGCCAATTCTTTTAAATAATATACAGAGACGGCCGGCGCCATGGCTCACTTGACTAATCCTCCGCCTGCGGCACCGGCACCCCAGATTCTAGTTCTGGTTGGGGCGCCGGTTTCTGTCCCGGTTGCTCCTCTTCCAGTCCAGCTCTCTGCTGTGGCCCGGGAAGGCAGTGGAAGATGGCCCAAGTCCTTGGGCCCTGCACCCGCAGGGCCCTGCACCCACTCTCCTGCACCAGGAGAGGCACCTGGCTCCTGGTTTCGGATCAGCACAGCACCAGCCATAGCAGCCATTTGGGGAGTGAACCAATGGAAGGAAGACCTTTCTCTCTTTCTCTCTCTCTCTCACTGTCTAACTCTGCCTGTCAAAAAAAAATATATACAGATTCAGATGTAAGTATAGATGTAAATATGGATATAGATATAGGTACAGACATATGAAGGTGTGCAATGATGAGTGTGTGTGTGTGTTCTACTGGTTCGGTTTTTTTGACAGAATCATGACGAATAAAGATTTTGGCACTGATAGTGGTTCTACATGATAGAATCTTAAGAGTGAGTTTCCTGAATTGGTTGTGAGTTTTATGGAATTGGTTCTCTACTCTGATAAGATTTAAATGCATGAATGATGCCATTCCCAGGGATAAAAAGTCCACACTGACCATCTATAGCATCATGTGTCAATATAGGCATGCAAAATGATACTATTGATTGCTGCTAAGCAAATATCTATCAAAGGCAAGGCATTTGCCACCTTCCAGAAGTGGGGAATGCCTGGCACATGGGCCCTAAAAGGCCTGCAAAATCAAAATCACTGGGTCTGGCTCTGCCAAGGT